ACACACACACACACACACACACACACACACACACACACATATATACACACACACATACACACACACATACACACACACATACACACACACATACACACATATACATACACAGACAACCCTGTGATAATATGCATTTTGTGCACCTTTTGCACAACATAAAATGCATAAAAGCAAATTGCCCAGTTGAGCATTTTTCGAGGTTTTACCAAAAGTGGTTGTCCCTTTCGCATTTGTTATGAAAATCATGCAAATTCTTCAGTAAGCTGATTGTGAAACACATGCTAGCAATAGCTATCTACTGTTGCCAAACCTAACAAACTTGTGATAATAGGAATATTTTTTCTGTCCTATTTTTTAGTGTAATTTTAATTTTAGATGATGTGTGTTTATGTAAAAAGTAAGGGTTTTTAGGTCATTTCTAGTCTTTCAAATTTAACTTTAGAGCAATATTGTGTCACATACCCAACGGCAGCAATCTCGGCTCCAATGTCGTTCTGCCCAGTAGCATCGTTTCGTGCACCGCCCATTGTTGCTGAAATATCAATGATACATAGACATTATTCAAGCAATTATGGCAAGATTATCATCCCCGCAAAGTAAAATAATCGGAATTACCAAAACTGATAAGATTAAATAACTGAAGGCTTTCGGCCACAGTCAACCTAATCATCGTTAGCAAGCCGACTCGAAAAACAGATGGGGGGTCGTTAAATTTCGAAAATCCCAATTCCAGCAAAAATTCTACTGAAACCGACTTGCCGTCCATTAAATGGGAAGGGGATAAAGAACAATAACAAGTGCCAAGAGTCAACAGCTAGCAAAACTGCCAATTTTTCTACTCTGACTGATGAAAAATTAGAAAAAATTGAAAAAAAATCCCCAAAAATGATAGCGACCAGTATCGCGAATTGTGCATTAAACTTTACAAGGATATTCTGTGAGAAGCAACTTTATTTTCAGCTGCTACACCATATGATATCAATAATAATTGAATAATAAGAGGAAGCAACAGAAGCGCCCTACTGAAGTCACAATACATGGATGACGACCGCACATCGGGAGGCAATGAAAGTCATCATCTTCTGTCAGTACGAACGAAACAAATGGCCAAAAAATAAAACCAGAGAAGAAAGAAATACTCGTTTGGATGACTCTCACGGTAGAAGGAGAACTGGGATTGATATAACGGTGCTTCAGAGCAACACAACAGAAACAGCGGAGAGTGAGGAGCCCAGTTATTACAATAGGAAAAGGAAATGCATCACATAACCGCAGTATTATAGCAGGAAGGATGCCCCGTCCTTCCCGATATCAAAAAAAAAAAAAAAAATCAGGCTATGAACATTTCGAAAAAAAACCCCTTTTCCTCTCCGTTTATCCATTCCATCGCGAGGCAGAGAGAACAGCACATCATTTTCACTTCGGAAAACCAAGGCCCTCTCTCTTCTCACCGAATATATTAAAGGCTACAACCCCCCTTCCTCGCCCTTTAAGACTATATAAGTTTCAGCCAAGGCCACTAAAAAACCCCTTCAAGATAACCTTTTGTTCTCTTTAACTAATTCATTCTAAAAAAGAGCCAAATCCAGTTCTCAGTAAGTCATAAGCCTAAATTTCTAAGAAGCTATTAACGGCACGCTACCTTCCATTAACAAAAAGCATCTGAGCCTCGAAAATCCAATTTTTACAACTACGTGAAAATCAATTATTGCCCAAAAATTTGAGATTCTTCATTTGCAGAAAAATGAAGGTGGGCAGCAAAGGGTATGCAAGAGAGAGAGAGAGAGGGAAGAGCTATGAAGCAAAAGCATGAAAAGACTGGCGCCAGAGTATCTCAAAACTCAAAAAAGACGCCTGTTGCTTGAAGTGAAGAAACACTGCTTATGTATAAAAACAGGTAAACAAAAAAAAAATATCGCAGTTGCCGTAAATAACCGGGAAAAAAGGGAACAATATGAAATCAGTAGGCAAATTCAAAATTAGTATTATGATCCGGCTGGTTGTTCACTCTCAGCTAACTCAGCTGGTAACGGGCTCTTCGGATGCTTCGACTCGAAATGTTCTCTGTAGCTCCTTTTGTCCATCATTTGGGCCTAAAAAAAACACATAATTCAGTCTGCTCCCTAATTCAGCTGCAACAAAACTATGAAAAACAGAAACTGTTACCAGTCGTTTCAAAACGCATCAATTTCGCTATGAGCGAGAATTACGTGTTTACATCTTGGGATCCGTGAAAGTTTTTTTCGGGTAAGTTGCTAACTCGGGAACCAGGAAAGCTAGGAAGCTAAATTTTTAAGGCGGTGTTTCCTGGAAGTTCTGGCGGCCGGTCTTGATTTGTTTAGCTAGAAGCATTTGCCCGAGCGTTTTTAAATTCGCAGTGATACTCTTGATAACTCCTATGCCATTAATCCTAACTCCCTCGTCCACTGCGTTGCGAAGTACGACTGGGATCGCTGGAAACTAATCGCTCGAATAAAAAAGCAACTGCGAATCAAGCAGATTTTGAGCTTTCTACCGAGAACTATGAAGAAAAACAAGAACATCAAGGTCAGTATGATCAACAAGTTGGCCACCACATAATCGTGATGATGCATCAGCAGTTTTGGTCAATAAACAGCCAGCCGGTTCATAATCTCTAACTTTGTGTCATATAGATGGGGCGAGATGAGGCGAGTTCGACGAGTTCGACGTTACCGGGAGCCTTTCCATTTTTTGGAAATCTACAAATTTTATCGCGCTAACAAGTACAAAATTTTGCTGTTTGATGCCAAAAATTATAGCTGTTCGGGTGACGAATTACGGAGCCGGCCCATCCGTACAATTTTCAGCAAATTATCTTTATGGCAGGTCTCGTTGATATCATAGCCATCCCCAGGCTTAAGCACTGTCACATGAGGCAGCAATAACTCTCCCCTGTTGTTCTTCAGCTTCTGCTTCCTTTGAATCGTTTTGGAGAACAACTCATGCGCAAACAAACGTGCATTTGTGTGTTTATATACGTATGAGTTGGCCCCCAAAACTATAGGCAGATCTTGAGCGGTTTCCTAAAGGAGTGGAGGAGGGGAACGGAAAGGGGAGGGGGAGGGAAAGGTGTGGGACTCTTGACAGCGATGACTTGGGGAGAGGG